GCCGTATATAAAATAGATGACTATGAAAATGTTTAAATCTCTATAACTACTTTTGATCCTAGTTGTGGGTATGACGATAAACTACATCCGGCAGCAGGGCATCTGATCGGGAGATTGGAGGTTTGAGGAGCGTGGAAGCACCTCTTAATTACTGTTGGCCTGGGGTGGCAGCACCTGTTAGGATCCTAGCTATGGGCAAATAGTGAACCCCCAAACAAAAGCAAAACACTAAAAGTATAAAAATATATTTTTATAGAAAAAATACCAGCAATATATTTTTATATAGATACATATTTATAGTAACAAGAAAATTAAACTTTGGCATTAAATGACCCATAAGTAGTTTGTATGCCGTTAAACAAACAGATCGGTCAATAATTTCGATCCGATTAAACCACTTTTGATATACGCAAATCTTAACAAAAACAAAAAAGAAAAAAGCATAGCGTCGTGGAATAAAAAAAGAGACTGGGCCCTTGGAATGCAGCGTATCATTGCTAGTAAATAAAAACAATTACTTTTGATCATTTCTATCGCTTTATAATCTCTCTCTGTCTCTCTCTAATGTTTAGATCGATATACTCTTCACCTGTTTTGCAGACAGTGTGAAATCGGGATTTTCTAAGTCGCTTTCGTTATCCCATATTACTTGAGCTCGAAGGATAGGCCAAACTGAAAGACGAAAAAAAAAAAAAAAAAGCTACAATAAGATTATGAAAATTTGTCGAAATACTTCATTTCTGAATCCAATCATTTAAAGATTGACTCACTCTCTTTATCGACGCTCTTTTTCAACAAGTAACACGTGACCATTTTTATGAGAAAGTAAAATATATTTTATTCTTTAGACTACCTTTTCACATCGTGTTTTTTTTTTTCTTCGAGTAAATGTCTGGCAAAACCCATCGGTGACTAAACTTGTTTCATGTCAGAATTACAAAACATAAAAATTTACGTGTTTGAGAGCCACAAGACATAAACAAAGTTTACGCACATCTTTTTATTGTTAAGTACATATTTTATTACAAAATGTTTATATAAAAATTAACATGAATGGAATAAGATTTACTTTTGTATGTATTTTCTCAAAATATTAATTTGCGTTAGTTTCAATGAACCAGGAAACTTATACTTACAAGACAGATGAAATTCCTGGGATAAAATAAGAAAAGAAGGCTCAAAGAATTTAACACTCACAAGCAAGAGGAAACAGTGAGTAATCTACTGAACGAATTTGAGTGAATGGATGACAAAACAAGATCAAATGAGGATGGAAAGGAGTCAAAACTGACAAAAGACGGGAAGTTGTGGAGAGCCATGATTACCTACTTAACGAATTTGTATTAATGGATGGCAGAACAAGAAGAAAGAGGGATGGTAAAAGATTAAAAATTACACAGAACAACAAAAGATAGGAAGATGTGGAGGGCCACGATCGCCTACACCCTGAAAGAACTTATCACATAAAAGAAGTCACAAAGTACACGTATATATCAAATATTTTCAAAATATTAACTGATGATTGTTTCAAATATATTGTGCATATTTAATATGGTAATGAACTTCGGAAACGACTAATTTGCATTTCGATAATTAACATAAAATCAAATTCCAAAGAATTAAATATTTAATTAAAAATGTAATAATAATTAACAATAATGGTAATGGTTACAGCAGCCGTTTCCTTGTGAGGAAACGTTCGGAATTCACTGACCGAGCAGCCAGTGCTAATTTCGGTTTAAATTTATACAGTTTTTCTATTAAAACAATTTTTCAGAAAAATAGGCTTCTCAAATCCAGTAACTGTTATCGCTCTGTCCAGTATTGATGGGGAAGGGTTTTTTTTCATAACCTTTTGTTTGATAGTGTAGAACTTCAACATCTTGATTATGTCATTATTTTCTCTTCAACTTACATGTGCTATCCATTTTAGTTGTTGCTGCTGTTGAAAGTCTTCAAGTGATACGATTTCTGTTATTTGGTACAGTTCTTTGTGACTTTGTAATGCCAGTCCACAATATCAGAAGACCTCATTCGCTCAAAGTTATTTTTAACCATTTATTTCAGAAAGGGGTTGCATACAGCTGACAATTTAGCTATTTCTGAATGGGTTTAGCGACATGTATAACATCCTTAAGGAAGTTTCGACTGATGAAGAATATAATTGGAGTTTTTAGATTTTTGTTTTTGTAGAAATAAATTAACTAATAGATAAATAATAAAGCTTTTTTTATTTATTCATCTTTTGTACTAACTGTAATGAGGAAAATGGTCTTGCTTAAATATTTTCACAATGTCAATGTGGTTCACGAGCTGCTGTTTGGCTAATCCTGATATATTTTCATTACGAAAACAAACTCATTATCTTTGTAAAATATAAAATGATTAATTATAAAAGCCATCAATAAAACAATCAAATATTAATAAAGATCACAGAAGGCAATGTTGAAAATGAATAACAAAACACTTATTTTTTAAATTTGATTTTTAAAGAGTAATATGCAAATTAGTTATCATCACTAAACAAGGACCGCTAAGTTAGTCAAGACATAAGACATATATTGGATTGCACAAGCGATAACCCCATATTTATTTTGGGTTCTGAAATATAGGTATGCACATAGGCAGACAACTGACTTAATATATTCAATTCATTTTCATGTTTTGATTTGACACACATACAAATTTATATATATTAGATAAAGTGTTTTTTTTTAACTGTTAATATGTATTATTAGTTTAGGTACTCATAAAGTACACATATACTAAATGTTTTCAAAATTTTCATAATGGAAACGAAAAGGACACATACTTTTCTTCGAATCAGAAAGAGAAAGTTGAAATTTCAAGAGCACATAATGAGAAAAGGGGGTTTGGAGAATATGACTCTCACAGGAAGCAAGCGGAATATGGGAAGCAGCGAATAACCTACCTAACATGCCTGTGTAAATGGTTGGCAGTACAGGGATTAGGAGAGATAGCAAAAACAAACTTACTAAGAGTTACAAAGTCCAGGAAATTGTGGAGAACCATGAACACCAACGTCCTGAAATTAAACGGAACATACAAGAATTAGACTTGTATGCACTTAATGTGGTAATAAACAAAGGGAATAAAAAAGAAAAATATTTAAATTTCAGCGACAGACAAAAAAGTAATATTAAGTAATAAATTACAATAAAACTTGAAATTCTTTCTTATTTCTTATATTAACAGTGATTAACACATATTTTCTATGAAATTTCTCAGACATTCAGGTCTGTAAATGTTGCTAATACTGTTTATTATCAACAAAGCATTCACTTAAATATTTGTATCTATAAAATTAACGTATAATCAATAAATATATTAAAATAACAGTGATAAGAAAAGAAGCTCAGTCGACATATTTCTACACGGGAAATGTCAAAATGCTTCATGTTGCTCGACAGCCATGTTTGTCAACCTAAATATGACAATGACTATTATATATGACAGATGACCTGTTCGTTACAATTATTTATTTCAAAGACTGATTTATGAATCATTTGGGCACATCTAAGTCTTTTTGTGGATAATGGACGATAGCTTTTTCTTTTCCTCCTTAAGCAGATGTATTCTTTTACGTGCTGTGCCCAATCAGGGCAATCATGGTTTCCTCAACTTTCTATCCCTTATACCACAAAGGACTGTTTATACCTTTACTCTCCCGCCAAGTCTATGTACTGCCATCCATTTACACAAACTGATTACGTTGGTTATTAGCTACTGTGTCTCTTTTCTCTTCAATAAGCTCTGTGAGTGTCAAATTCTCCAATGCCACTTTCCTCATTGTGTCCTAGAAATTCCATCTACCTTTTTCTGATCCGAAACAAAAGTACCCTTTTTGATTACATTTTCCTTAAAACTTTCTCGGTGCTAACATTTTATGTCCATAGTATTCTCAGAATCCTTCTGTAGAACTGCATCTTGGTTGCTTCAATCGCCTCCTCATTTGTGAGGAAATTGTCCAGCATTCATTGACATAATCGTTGAGCACTAACTCATTTTGTCGACGAAATTCTCCTGTTTCTTAATATTTTGCTTCGTTTCTGAAAGGCAAAACAAACTGTATTCTTCTTCTTATTATTATTATCGTATCACTTTAAGATGCTGGTGATCATGGCTCTCCAAAATCACCTATCCTTTGTAGTTCTTAATAAATTTAGTGGTTTTGTTATTTCTCCTAAAACTTGCTCCTCCATCTATTTACTCAAGCTAGCTAGGTAGGTTATTCATTGTTTTCCTCTCTCCCTCTTGCCTTCAATCTATCCTGTGAGTATCAAATTTATGTGTTCTCGTTGTTTCCATTTTCTCTAAAACTGTGCCGTTGCTCACATGTCCAGTTGATGGTATTCTCAGCATCCTTCTGTAGAACCACATTTCTATTGCTTCAAGTGTCAAGTGAGGTGATACATTTCGCAAAAAGAGGAGATTCGCTGATTTTAATTGATATCTTCCTATTGATAATTTAGTATCAACCCATCATCTGCAACGTTAGATTGATGGTTCAGTGGCAGAGTTTCTTCATAATTTGTCTAATAATAGAAATGGTTACGTGTTTTCTACCCGTTATGGTTCGAGCCCAAATATAAAAAAGGAGCTTGAATGCTGATTTTCTCGGCAAGCAGGTACTTCTCTTTGGTTGATTTGAGCAACACAATATTCCATTAATAGCTATTTGTCCCTGCGCATACAGAATATTCTTATGCCTCAATTCCAGACTTAGGCGATTTTTTTTAAAGTCACAAAAGAAAAGGAGAATTTTTACTCCGAACCGGGGATAAATTTGCAGTTGGAAAAAATTAGGAAACCCAAATGACGAGCAAAAATATATATTGTCTTTAATGGTAAAAAATGGGACCTGATATCTTTGGTTTGGTTTGTTTTACGACATACCAATCTCATTGGGTTATTTAATGCCGACAAGATTTTTATTGCTGGTAATATTTTTTCAAAAAATGTATTTCTGCTAATATTTT